TAATTATTTATAGCGTACGAGTCATGATCACAATTGTAATACAAATCACCCAGTTCTTTATATATTAAAACCGATTGTGAATTGTATGGTATGCAAAAGTTTCTATGCAATTCAATTGCTTTTTCGTAGTTGATCACAGCTGCTTGAAAATGATATTTATTTTCATTTTCATCTTGATCGATCATTTCTAAAATGGACACATGTATCCGTCCAATATCGATATAAAGATGTTGTAGAGTATCAACATTTTCTTCTATCCTTTCCAAGGCTATTGTGACAGCTTTTTCATAGTTGAATAAAGCTAATTTATAACATTTCAAATAAACGTATACATTACCCAATAACTTGTAAACTAAGACAAATTTTGGAGTAAATGATATTAATGAGTTATTATAAATTTCTGCAGCTTTTTCTAAATATTTCATTATCATTTGACAACAAAAGTCTATTTTAATTTGAATTGTGCTAGTCGTGAAAATGATGAAATAAATTGATCCAATTTCTATATACAGATCAATAAGATCGATGTCATTCTCTGCAAATATTTGTAATTTTGAATGTAGAGCATTTTCATAATTCATTAAAGCTTCTTCAATATTATTTAGAGAATAGAATATTTGTGCTCGTTTTATATAACAAACTGCTATTTCTTTGAAATTTTGTGAACAAGTGTACATTTCAATAGCTTTTAAAAAATTTGTCAATGCACGCGATTCATCTTCTTGTTTACAATAGAGATTTGCAATAAAATAATAAATTTGTGCTTTGAGATCATAGTTATTAAATAATAGTTTATCATCTTTTTCCATCAGCATTAACGCTTTTTCATATGTTTTTATGGCTGTCTCATAATTCTCTCTCCGAAAGTGTAACGATCCTAATATGATACAATCTAAGGCACTGTTTGCTTTGCTTGAAAACGGTTGACGAGATTTTCTACTAATTTCATAGTTTTTTTCATACAAATCCAACTCGACATCAATGTTAACATTATCTGTTAGTCTAAGAGTATCAAATAAATCATTTGTTCTTAAATAACTCGTTAAATATGTTGAACTAAACAATGGAATATCAATTGCTTTTTTAAAATATGAAAGTGCTTGATCTTTATCATTTAATTTTGCATAGACTAATGCTATCGAAGCATAAATTTTTGCAATATATGTACTATCTGCTGGTAAATATAAAAGCGTTAATTCAATTGCTTTGTTATAATAAGTTAACGTAGCTTGATAATTACCATTCTTTTTGCTAAGATCTCCAATCCATACGTATACTGTTAATATATCAGGATGACCAGATGGTAAATGATTGTGAATAATTTTCAATGCAAGTTCTGCAAAAACTAAGGCATTTTCATAATCTTTCAGATTATGAAAAGTTTCACTCATTGCTAGAAACAAGTCTACGAGCAATCGCTTATTTCTTGCTTCTGTTTCTAAATCAAACAGAATTGTATGTGACATTTGATAATATTCTAGAGCTTCATGATAATCTTTTTTTTCATTGAAAATTTCTCCTATCTGTTGATAACCATAAGCTTTCACATTTTTGTCAAGCGTTATTTCGATTAATTTTTGATAGTTTTTAATTGCAGACGAATAATCACCACTTCTAAAATATTTTTCAGCTATTTTATCAAGTAATATTGTATATGTATTATTGTTAAGATTATCATTATCTCTTAGCATTTCTTCCAATTCTTCTATAGTCGCTTCACTATTTTCAATTTGTAAGAGTGTTTTATATCTTTCTGCTTTAGCTACATCTCCCATTAATTCCAAAATATGGATAAATTTTTTCATTGTTGGTTCTTCACCAATTGTATTTTTTAGATAATTATTCAATTGTTTTATTTTAGTATCAGTTTCATTCATTGATTCTAATTGTACATACCATATGTTATTATTAATATTTTCAATAGATTTAATTTGAAACTGTGATCCAATTGGTAAGAGTATTTCATTTTCATCTTTAAAATAACTATGTTCTTGTATATTTGCTAAAGGTTTGATGAGAATGTTCAGATCAATATTGATTTCAAATAGAATAGATTCGAACTGTGGTCTACGTAAACCATCACCAGCATACATTTCAGCCACTTCTTTATCCATTGATGTCGATACGAATGTGTTCATCGATACAAGACCATTAATATTTTCTTGAAGCTTTTGCAATTCATCATAAGTCATGAGTTGTCCACGATAGAGAATAATATTAAATATGTCTAAGTCTTCCAAAAATTTTAAAAACTCTTCATTTAATTCTTTTAATTGTTTATATAAATCTTTAACAAAGAAACGAAAAATAAATATAATATCAATATTTTCTGTTCGAAATGCTTTATTCAATAGTCGAAACACAAATGAATTACGTGTATACCAAGAAATAGCATTTTCAGGCGTATAATTTTGATCGAATTCGTCAATATCCTTTAGTACTGATTCATTATCAGAATAATACAAACGACATTGTTCAATCATATCTGCTTTATCTTTTTTATCATACTCCATTCTAATAAGAACTTCTAAAAGTATTTCAAACCATAATAAGGATGTTCTGTTTTCATTTAAATTACGTAGTGAATTTTCAACTATATTTGTATTTTTTGTTCGTTCAATAACATCTTGTTTCAATGTTGAACATAATGTATTTCGATCCGTAAATACACCTTGAATCTTAGCATAATTAGATATCCATTGTTCATGTTTATCTTTATCTAAACAATAGATATATATGTACTGAATTTGTTTTAAGTTATGTATTTTTGGCACCAATTGTTCACCAAGTACACCTGAGATAATAAAAAATATTTTCTCTGTATAATATTCGTTTATGCAGTCAATACAATCATCCATCATATCAAATGTTTTTATATAATTAATAATGCTGCGCAATTGAACTTTAGTATTTAGACAGTCTTCTGATTTATTAATGTTTGCATCAAGCCAAATAACAGTAAAATCTTCAAGATTTATATTGCGACTAATTACTTCAACATTTTTGCTGGATGAAACATTTTGTTGTGGCAAAGTTTCAGATTCTTGACAACTGGCAAGAATATTGCATGTCATGGTGACGAATTCCTTTGTTATTGTAATAGATGCAAAGTAAAAGCTTTATATAACAGAATCAATATACACATATATGGGAGGTCTCTTGATTCGATTCTTTTCTGTACTAGCCTAAATTTGAATGTCCAACAGAAAAAAGAATTATGCGTCAGTGAATAAAAGTTGTACACTTGTGATGATTATGATCGATTACCCTCGAGGATGTGTGATTGGCGGATGAAAACTATAACCTTCAACGTCTACACCCACGTCCATATGACATTTTTTCTGATAATCTATCCGATGAAATTCTCTTTCAACAAAATTAAAGGTCAAAAATCTTATAACCTTGGCCACTAACAATAACACGTTTCTTTTAGCAAATCACATCCTACCGTATAGTATGAATATCAAAATTATCTCAAAAAAAACTCGAGGATCTTAAAAAATCAATTTTCGCTGGTTCTTACACGAGAATTTGTGGTTGTAAAGAACTAAAATGCCTTTTATAGTGGAATCAAAATACAAAGATAATTTCAATCTACTTACGATTAAAATATCACTCGAATCAATTAGTTTGCTTTTTTTTTAATCAACGATTGACTGTCTCACATACACGTATATCTTCGAAACGACGCGTGTGGGTTTTTTCCAATTGACGTTGTTTACGTGTAAAAAAGAAGCATCCAATCTTACATCACGTGGACGGGATGCACAAATGTGATACATGATGCTCTCGCTCGTATTCTGTTTTTTTTCGCAATATTGATCCTTTGTATCGTTTATTTTTTAGCTTTCTTTGCATTATCGTCTCATTAGAATGAGCAAACGTATATTGATATTATCGAGCATTCGCTTTCATCGACAAAAAGCAAATCCGATGACTACCTCTCATTTACGAACATATAGAAAATAAATTCAAAGTAAAATAAAATTTTTAAAAATTTCGTTTGATTCACAGATAATAATTTATATCTTTTTTTGTAAAACAATCAAAATTTATAGCACACTTTCAAAAAATTGATTATTGAGAACGAATACAGAAAGTAAATTGTGTTAAAAGGTTTTAATAAAATAAGGTTTTTAAATTCAATAGAATAGTTGTGGTTTGTAGCAAGTGTTAGATGTTTGTTCAGTGAGAATGTGGGTATGTCAGTGTTGGTTCAAACTAATTACAAATAGAGTGTGGATGTAGATGTGATTAATTTAAGTACAAGCACTCACACCCACCCTACCCATATCTTCTTTATGCTCTCAATTTAACATCAATTCATATTGAAAGTTTTATACAGAATAAGATGGTATGCAAACAAAGCTTCTTTTTTACTAACGTCAATATATTTTAATATGTAAGTACCATTCAGCAGCTTCTTGTGTCTACTAACAAAGGACTAGATGCAAGAGGGAAACAGCGAATTTTCAGGAATTTGAATCCCAACAAAAATCCGAAATCTCATGTGAATTCCAGAATTGAGATTGAAATGATTAGGATTTTATGATTGTTTTAAAGGACAACTATATAGGAATAAATGCAATCTCGTGACTATCTGACTTTTTCTTATGAAAATGGTGCGTATTCAATTTCTTCGTGTTTTAAAATTTATAGTTCCATAAAGATACTGTAGCGAATAGTAGCACTATTCTTTATAGAAATGTCATCTAATGCGAGATACGTGCTTAGGCTACTATTTATGAAAAAAATTGAACCATTGGTGAATGTTTTTGTGCTTTTCATTATTTATTGAGGACGCGATACTCACATATAGACACTGGTAATACTGATTCATGGACAAAGATGAAAATATTAATGTTCTATGTCACCAAGAGTGGTTGAGTGTTCTAATTGAAAAATCAAGAAACGCCAAGAATAATATTTTTCTTTAGATATATCCTTCAAACGATAACATTAATGCTGATTCAAGTATCATATTATCGTCACTGAAAATTTCCATATGTGAGTAAATTATATTGAAGAAGCTGTTTATCATTTGATGAGATTTGAATTTTTTTAAAGAACTATTTTTCAAAGGTTAGGAAATTGTAGGTCAAAGTCTGCAATATTTAGATCCTCTTTCGGAAGTTTATATTATTTTATGTATGACCATACGGGAAAATGAGCTTTCTTCAATTAGACAACATAAAATACATTCTACAGATATGATTTACGAAATCCAAAAGTGAGAATGACAATATTAGAATTACAAATCTAACTCGGTGTTTGTGTCAAAATGTAATTTGTTACTTCTTGATGTTAATATAAGCTCTAGTTTTGATGATATGATCAAAACACACACGAGCCGTTCGATATACCTTGACTGACCATGCAGATGTGTTCATATTCAGCATACGAAATGAGTAGAGAATTTATCCAAAAGTAGCTGATCTCTATTTTCTCCATTGTCTCTTCGTCCATCAGTTAGTTTTCAGAGAGAGCTCGAAATATTTGAATAAAGCTAACTTCTATCTCCATATTTTCAAAATTAAAAATATTTTAATGGTATGCTAATGAAAATTCTCTTTATCCTGAATCTAATATTTATAAATGCCTTTTCAGAACCTTTCTTTTGACATTTCTATCTTACCGACTGATACCCTAGCAAACAAACATTTTCAAAAACGCATTTAAACCCATGAAAAAGTGTATTGAACGCATAAAAAGTACGCATCTTTTGCCCTTTTTTTGTGAGTTTAAACGCATTTTCAACGACAACACGATTGTAGAAAGATATGAACACAAAGAAAAAAGGCGAAACGCAGTTGTCTTCATGATCGTAAACTGTTATCACAATCATGGTGGCGATTTACGACTGGGAAGAAGATATTTGTGTTTCATGTTCTTTTTATGCATTGATTCGCTTTACAATCGTGTTCTCGTTGAAAACACGTGTAAACGCGCAAGAAAAGGCAAAAAAGTACTTTTTATAGTTTAAAGGCACGTTTTCATACATTTAAACGTGTTTTTGAAACTATTTCTCTGCTTGGATATCGTTTC